TGCCCTTTTTTATAACACATATTTAGATCACCTAGATTAAATCCAATTTTGTAATTTGTCTTCAATATTATTCAATTTAGATATTTATTAATCTTCTTTAAAATTATTAGTTTGCATACATGCAATTCAGCCCTCCAGCTGCAAGTTGCACCTTTTCACTCAACATATCTATCTATTATATCTATCTGTCTAGTACAGGTGATATAGCTTGATTGATGTTTTAAAATTTCAATGCAATAAACAAATGATCTTTTATATGAAAAACCCAGTCTGATATGTGCAACATGTGGGTTTGTATGATTAGAGAGAATGACAGTGGTCCCTAGACTGTCCATACACCTATGTGGCCTGTATGTCTTTTAAGGATACTCCTTGTGAGGTCACCAACAAATATAGTCACAGTAACATCACCTGAGTAAATTGACAACAGGAGAAATTAAAAATTCCTGACACATGTAGCAGGTGATAGATAAGGAAAACCAGGCACATGAGGATGGCATCAAAGGCAGAACTGTGGAGCTATGCGGAAGTGCCAGAGTAACCCCTGAGACCCACTTGTAAAATAAAGACACCACCACCACATCATTATTTCTCCAACTAGATCTGTGAATGACAACTCAACAATACTTGATTTACTTATCACTTCTGTTCCTGAATTTGTTAGACACATTACAATTCTCTCAAGGGGATTTTCCTCAGACCATATGCTAATTACTTTTGACATCATTATTCTACTGAAGCACATCAAGCCATTGAAACATTACATTTACAACTAAGAGGATGCTGATTTTGACAGATTACAAGAACTCTAAAATTATATTCCTTGGGATATAGTTAATGATGGAAATGACATGGATTTTTCAACTGTCAAGTGGATGGATCTTTTTCTTGCAGCTGTTAACGATTGAAATAAAGTCAGCTTATAGAGCTCCATAGATTGATGCTGAAGTTCTTAAAGCTGTTAGAAAGAAAGAAAGAAGGACTTAGAAAGCAAGCCAAAAAGTCATCCTCTGAATATCACTGAGCAATATTATGACTGCATTGTGCAGGACTCAAATCACTTATTAAATGGAAGCGTAAGCAATATTTCAAAGGTCTGTCATCAACTCTGACAGAAAACCCTTGGTGATTCTGGGCTTATTATCAAGCTAAATACAAGAATAAAAGGATTCCAACATCTTTGCAATACAATGGGGTGGAAATCTCTGATGCTCAAGAAAAGGCAGAACTATTCAATAACTACTTTAATTCAGTTTTCAAGAGAGATGATTGTGTTCCCCTTCATGAGGACTATTTTTTCAGTGACTTTGATAATGACAACCAGTCTTTAAGTAACATTACCATCTCACCATCTATGGTCAGGGAATTTCTGAATCAGCTGAACACCCCCAAATCTTGTGGACCAGATAAAATAACATCACGTCTGTTGAAGGAATGCTCTTGGAATAATCACATTGACATCATCATCATTAAAGACAACAAGATGCTGAGCATGATCAAAAGAACTTGTACCAATGAATGTGATCAGAAATCATTGATAATTTTATACAAATCACTTGTTTGATCACAGCTGGAGTACGCATCACAGCTCTGGTCACCTTACACTAAAGAAAAGATCACTGCACTTGAGCTTGTACAAAGATGTGCAACTAAATTTATCCTGAAAACTGACTTAAGAAATCCCGAGAGACTTGTTGCACTGAAACTTTTACCTTTAGAATATAAAAGAGATATTGGATCTTTGCTCTTTCTTTAAGAAACTGAAAGGTTATTGATTTCAGTGTTTTGTCATATGTAAATTTTATGACGACCAGTGAAGCTACACTGGTGAAAGGCCTTTTTAAAACTGATGTTTTTAAGTTTTCTTTCTTCAATTTTATTGTAGACCTGTGGAATTCCCTACCACTAGATTTCAGAACATTTGAACATTTCTCATCATTTAAGAACACTATTGATAAATTTTATCTTAATAAATTTAATGTAAATAAGGATAGATTTT